TGAGCCGATAAATATTTGCAAGCAGACACTCTGAATAAAAATTATTACGAACTGGACAAGAGAACATAAAGGGTCAGTCTATTTTAAAACGATTTTTCTGCATGTGATGATTTGATATCAAAATTTTGGTACAGTTTATTACAACCGGGGGAAGAGGGTACGGTCCCACCAAACGAAACGCACCATAAAAAGATGGGTCTAGATGCATCTAGTGAGGTTCCATCCCAAAATTAATTGGTGATGAAAAAAGTAGCACACTAGATTTATATATTAAACTCATTTTTCCTATAAAAATTAATGTGGAACAACTCACAAATTATATTCGAACACAATATAACAACAATGCCTTTGTACTGTGTGGTTTTCTAAATGTGTTGTAATTTTTCTCTGCAAGTGGTTAAATTCATGTGAATGGCATATGCCCTTTGGACCCACAAATCCAAATGTGAAGATGTGATGATAATAACACCAAAGTGAGTTCACCTAAATTCTCTATATATTAATTTTTCTTTAAATTTTATTTTTTTTAGAAAAAAAAATTTATGTATGTATACTGATTTGTTGATTATTTTATTTGTATCAGCTGGGAACCACAAACCACTATTCTATGTGGATTAATTCTATGCACTTTTAGAATAAAATTTGTTACATCTTTTTTAGCCAAAAAAAAGTGGATTATGAAATCTTAACTGAACAAATTGTTAATTAATTACACACTTTCTGAAAACCTTTGTATCTTTTTTCTTTTTTTTTAGTACAGGGACCTTCCGGTTTCCGGATTCACAGGGGAACCGACTAATCCGGAATCGAGCCGGGTAGGACCACAAGGGCGGCAAAGCTCTCCCTCAAGAGTTTTAACACTGCTGTATTCCCAGGGCTCGAACTCGAGACCACTGGTTAAGCTGGAATAGACCCAAGTCATCTCATCCAAGCGCTATTGGGTCTTGTATCTTTTTTCTTTAACTAATGCAACTTAGATTTTAGCGAAATTAGTGGGGCTAAAGGAAAAAATAAAATAAAATAATCGATTGAAAAAGTTAATCTGGATTGTATATATAATTGCTTGGAGACCCATTTGGTACCTTTGATATGATAAGATTTTGTAATAGTGATATATGACAAAGGGGAGAGGTACATTGGGATGTGGATTATGTTGTTTTGATGCTAAAAATTGCTTTGGATTCAATCTGTGGGCTTGAATTATTAGGTATTGACAAATGGTGGGAGATAGACTACAACGGAATGATTCCGTCAGTACTTTCTGCAGTAGACTATCTACACAAAACTAATCTACATGTATATTTACAGTAGAAACTACTCACGAAACCATTCCGTCAACGGATTGTGTAGTATTTTCACAAATGGTGTTTCACTAATATTATTCTCAAATGAATGCCTCAAATTTCTTTAATCTCTTTATGTTAATTAGAATACTTGTTCAAACATATAGGCTAGAACAAATAAAATATATATTTCACTTGGTCTAATTTAAAATCGTGTTTGGCTCAATCTTATTTTTGCAACATGCAAACATATATAACTTCATACTTAAATGTCATACTTAAAATACAATATAATATAAATAAATAAATACATGATATTTAACAATAATGTATGGGTATATGTATGACTAGCAATTATTAGTCGGGTCACTCATCCCCGGCTAATCCTACCCACATTGGAATGCGGAACCATAATAGCCCAATCCGAATCACATCACGCATAGAGTTGAAGATCACAGTCAGAACGAAAAAGGATCCCTGAGGACCATTTGTTACGGAAGCAGAAGACAAACCTAGAAAGAATTCTTTCTGCAAGTCATCTCGAGGCTTTCAAACGCATCATATGCTAGACCGGCAACCTCATAACCTCGATCTGATGCCCCATGTAATTTCCAGGATCTCAAGTGCTGAGTATCAAATTTTAAAACTGAAGGTAGAGCTAGTTTGACACATCAACTCAGTCCAATTTAGCACAAATGAAGAAAATCAAAAGCCAAAAACTTTCAGCCACAATTAGCAATTTATCATACAACACAAACATATTTTGCTGAAATTCGGACGCCCATCAATAAAATCACCATTCAATATTGCATTACAAATGTATATCATTATTACTAAGAAATAAAAGACATGAGCAAAAGTATCACAAAATCCCCATATGTTTTCCAAGACTTAGAAAGAATCTGTATAACTACTTTCCATGCACTGATCAAAACAGGCCAATTTTCATACCAAGAAGTGTAAAGGTAGGTTCTTTGAACTATTTTTCGACAAAAACGAAAAACGAACGAACTACAAAAATCGTTTAGCCAGAACAAGAGGGTGAATGGACTCCGAGCTCCTTGATGCGGACCCCACCATTGCGCATTTTGAGTTTCGTGGAGAAATCGTGAACGGCATCCTGAATTTCCACGAATGCCACGAGAAATTCGGCTGCATCTGCCTGGCTCACCACCTTCTTAACTGCCAATTCCAGTGCCTTCATCCTGTTATTACACAAAAGTTCCATCTAGCTGCTTTAGTAACTTTATTATGTGATGGTACAAAAATTAGGAAATTTGTTGGGACAATTACAATTATGACTTAGAAAAAAAAAAAAATGAATACATGTGATTTAAGCTACCCAAAAATTAACATAGGTTGAAATTTCTAAAACATCAATGTTGTATTTATCACAAATATACTTCATATTGAGCCTGATTACTGAAATTCATGTGAAATGAGTGTTTCATTTTATTTTCTTGTATTAGAAGTGGTTTATGCAACTATTCCCAATATGTTTCATGGTGAAAGGTAAGACATATTGGACCTTAGATTTTGGGCCTTGACAATGACCCGGTGGATTTTCTTAAACTCGGACCGCACACAGGCCAACGCAGGCCTGCTTCTCGATGGGCCGAACGGTAGGTGAAGCACACAGTTGGACTGGATCTCGGTCATTTCCTCGTCGATGACAGCCTCTTCGGTCCGTATGTCGTTGATGAGTTGGGCGAGGTCCCGCCCAACGCTGACTGGGTCCCACAAGGAGTGGGCCAACGAGCGGAGCAGCTCCAGGATGGTGGAGGGCCGCCAGTCTCCGAGCCAGCACAGGGCGGCTAGCTCGTGGGCGGGAATCCACTTGGGCATGAGGAGTTGGGCCACATCAGTCATCTTGGTTGGAAGCATGGCCCGGTTGTTATGGGCTTGGAATCGGCCCATTATCTCGTCGACGAGCTTCTGGATGGCCCATCTTGCCTTGAGCTGTTTTTTCAGCTTCTCTGCTCCTCGCCTCTGTTCTTGCCTCCAAGATCCGTATTTCTCACAAGACAGAGATTCATCTGGTTTTGATTTTGAACGAAAATTGTTAAAAATTTGAAAAATTAAATAAAATTGCTGCGATGAGAGTGAGAGAGAGAGAGAGAGAAAGAGCTTCAACCCCTATTGTTTATACATTTTCAAGAATCCATTGATTTGTACACGACATAAAAACAGCTCGAGAAGAAAATAAACAAAGGAACACAGATAATCAACAAGAAATTTCGAAATACCCGATTGAAAATCAAGAAATATAAAGTGACCCACTTTTTCATGTTGGGATTTCAAGATAGGGGCAAAAATTTCTTCGGATTTCAGGATAAAAGATTGAAATTTCTTGAGATAAAAATGGTGAGATATGAAAAAAGATGGAGTCTTTACATGGCTTTCTGGGCTCTGGCTTGTTGGGCTTCATGCAGTTGACGTCTCCAATTGGTTGGCCTTCGATTTTCAGTAACTTGTCATCGTCTTCTTCTTCTTCAACTTTCTGCAAATGTTTCCTGCGGAAAAAAAAAGATGAAAAAAGAAAAATTAGAAATGCATCGTCTGTGGGGTGGATTCGTAAACAACACGAAAATCGAAAACATATACAATAATAAGATTAAATTTTGTTTACAGCATGGCAAGAGATGCGGTTCTCCTCATTATTTTCTTCTGCAACTTGATGGTTTGTAGGCAATAACTTGGTGGGGAAGATGGAAATGGGTGAAATGGAGAAGGGTTTTATTGTTGAGGGAAAGCTGAAGATTGGAACGACGGATTACTGGGCTCGACCTCGCTTAAGTAGTGCTGCTAAAATAATAATAGCACATCTTATTTAACCGTAAAATAACTACACCCCTATTTTCCTCAACTAGTAATAAGTATATAGTTGATTTAACGGTTATAAATACCGACGTTATGGTTCCGTAACGAAACTGTAGCATCTCTCTAATTACATATATATACAGTGACAGTAAATAATATTAATGTTGTATTTATGAATTAATAGCAAAAATATTCAAACACAATTTTCCATATATTATATAATTAAAATTGGGAATTAAATGTAAAATTATATGAATACAATACATCATATTTTAATTAATAAAATTGGGATTACTAGCATTATTTTCTCTATTTTGTCTATAAAAACTAGCCCATCATTCAATATGTATTTAAAGTGAAAATATTTATTTTCACCCCGCGATAAAGTGCACAGAGTTTTCACTCCGTCATTTGGAAATTTATATTGTTCACACGACAAAGTACGGTTGATTGTGCGATTAGTGCACAAGTACCCTTCCTTTTTTTTTCTCTCTGGCATGCCACCAAATCGTCGCTCGACCTCTAGAGGGGCTGGCGCTGTGATCCTCCAATGATGCTAGTCGAGATCGTCGTCCCTCGTGTGGCGGCTCTCCGTCGATCCATGGATGTCAGTGAGGTATCTTCAAATCTGATTAGGTGTTCGAGTGAAGTGTAGTTTTTAAGTACGTTGGTTTCAGATGTGCTGCTCTTTCGTCATTTGTGGGCTGGATGACTTCCAGGAATGTTGGCGGTGGTTGTTATGTTGTTGCTGGTAGCTTTAGTGTGCAACTATTTGCATC